AATTGAGATGTATGTATATACATGTACAAAAAATTGTGTCAAAACCCATATCCGCTTTATGTGACCCGCTTAATCTCTTTTTACGAGAGATTAGGGTTGAGTAGAATAATAACTGTCTTCTCGTTTTCTCTACATAGTATCAGAGCCTAGAGAACTCCTCTTCTTTCTAGACCTTGCGGTTGCCGTGGGGTTTGCCACCTCCCTGCTTTCCCTATGCAGCTTCGGCATCACTGATTTCTAAATCTTCATCTAAAACCCTCGATATAGAAACCCTGAATGCCAAAAAAATTTCATCTACTGTTCACCCGGTGGTAAGTCACCGAGTCATTGATCACCTGATGGACAATACCGAGGTTAGTGTTCACATGCTGGCATCTTCAGTGATTATCTGCAGCTGCACCGGTCCTCTTTCGACATTCTTTCTTCTGGCAATCCCGCCTAAGGTTTCTACTAGCTGACTCACCTAGAATTTCTTTTGGTAGACCTGCTTACGTTCTATTGGCTGACCCATCTAGGTTTTCTATTGGTTGGCTGCCTAGGTTTTCTATTGGTTGGCCATATAGGGTTTCTACAGGCTACACCGCCTAGCGTTTCTTCAAGCTGACCCCCAGGTTTTCTTCTGGCTTCGATATGAATTTATAAGACTTGATTCCTCTGTCGAGAGTATGCTATTAGTGATTTGATTGTCTAATACTATGGTAGTCTAGTACTGGTCACAAAAGTGAGGATTTTCTTGTGATCTATATATGACTTTATTCTAGCTTGCTTGGGTTATCTCTGGCTGAGAGGACGCTTTTCTAGCTGTTATGCTTCCTGTTTCTTCATTCAGTTATCTTGTTCTTATGTGTAACAAGTTGAGCATCTTTGAGACATGCTCTAGCTTGAGGGAGAGTACTTAATGTTTAGTTATGTAGGTACTTGGGTAATTGGGTCAAAGCCCATATCAGCTTATGTAACCTAGTAATCCCTATTTAAGAGATATTAGGGGTAGATGGAATAATAACTTTGTCTTATTTATTTCTCTGTATTATGTACATATATAGGCGTTATTGTGAGTCTCTCAATCCTTTTTTTAACCCTCCTATGGTTTTGTAGGAACACTGCCATGCATAATCCTGATTCCGGGATTATTTTTTATCCCGGAATCCCCAAGGTGGCTGGTAAGGTCTAAGTGAATTGTCTCTACGATAAGTATGAAAAGCTCTATGTTTTCCAATATCTAATAAAAATCCTTCATTTCTTCAGGCAAAAATGGGAATGATGGAAGATTTTGAAGCTTCCTTACAAGTTCTAAGGGGATTTGATACAGATATTACTGTTGAAGTAAATGAAATCAAGGTACAAAAATCAATTAATATCAGAAATCAACACAAACGTGTGATCTATTTTCTCTTCCTTTACTCGTACGTGCATGATTTCAGTCTTTTATTCTCATAGATCCTTTGCCAAGGGATCTGGAGGGTTGGTTACTTGTTTTGCATGTTGCATAATGATGTAAGGGGTTTCACATGCAAAGTGGTACTAGGTCTCTTACGATAGGTCACACAAACTGTAATTTTCTTCGTCCGTTGTTTAAGTTTATACTTTGCATGACTTAAAACATATGAACAATGAAATTAGCTTGAGTCTAACATCACACTGATTAAAATTCTTTATAGTAAGCTTCTCACATATATGAAGTTTATGGTCTTTCTATTCTGAACAAGGTTTTAAATGTCGGATGTCGGGTTCATGTCGGATGGCTGAAATCCATGTCAGATAGCGGAAATCGGGGATATATCGGGGATATTGACTAAATATTGGATTACCATATCGGATAGTGCGCATATGTATAATATCATGTCCTAAATGTAATCTAAGCATTCATAAATTCAATATAAGCATACTTTATAAATTATATAGACTAAACATATAAAAAGGTAAATAATATATGGATTTGGGTTCATACATTCTATCTATCGGGTTCATAAGAAACCCTTAAACATGAGAACGTGTCAAACGTGTTTGGGTATTTATCACTAAACCCAAACCGGATAACAAAAAATAGAACTTAAAAAAAATACTATATCGGCCTATTTTTCAAAGCTAAAAAATAGGCCGATATGCCCGATATGACCCTGATATTTCCGATTTTACCTTGAAAACCGACATACGAGTTGAAAACGTCCATGTCGTGTCGGTCAAGCCCTCAAACCGATATGTCGGCCGACATGTCGGACATGTCGGCCGACATTTAAAACCTTGATTCCGAAGAAGTTAGAAATTAGGACTTGTGTAGTTGCTTTTTAATTTATATGACGCAAAATGTTTTTGTATTGACAGTTGACCTTCACCATTTTGAAACAGGTTTTTGTGGACATTTGCTTGACAATGCTTTTATATTTGGCTCTTTTGATGGGAACAGTCATAGTTGCATGCATTCCATAAATTTGAGTCAGACATTTATGTTGCTGTTTGTTTTGTTTTCCCCCTCTGAATATTTTAAAGCTTCTCATTAAAATGAAATAGTGATCTGGATCTTTTGAACTGGTTAAGTAGAATAAATTCAGATGCAGAATCAGGATTAATTCATCATCGTGATGACCCAAAAAATATGTCCACCTTAACTGGACATGAAAACACACCTACAATATCTACATGCATTTGAGCATACAATTTTCTTGATTATGATTTGACATGTTAACTTTGTGCAGAGATCTGTGCAATCGGGTACCAGGAGAACTACAATTCGATTTACGGATCTCAAACAGAGAAGATACAGTGTTCCTCTTATGGTATCATTCGTAACAAGTGTTCCTGGGACTAGATACGCTATCCTTTGTTTTCGGTAATGTCAGTATCTACTAAGTTTCTTATAGGTGTTCCATTATGCTACAGATCGGAATTGGTTTACTTGTCCTGCAGCAACTAAGTGGAATCAATGGTATCTTGTTTTACGCCAATAATATGTTTAAAGCTGCTGGTAAGTGTATTAATGTTCAACCATGACAATGATTATTGTAGTATAATTCTTTTGCAACTTTTGATGTAATTCTATTCACTTAGTGCTCCTTATATTAATGCATTACTGGAGAAATTCTATTGGAAACCATGGATTATATCTTATGTTACCTGGGTACTTCTATCATGAAGCTGTAAACATACTAGGCACATACCCATACTGAAACTTCATGGACACTCCTTGATATTTACATGCATTTTTTCAGATATGTACTCAATTATATGATATATGTTTTAATTTAAAATGCTCGCCATACACTTCTTGGATGTAACATTTATTTCTTGAAACCTATTAGTCATCTGTTGGATGCTTTTCAACCCATATCCCAGTTCAAACATATATGATTATAAAGGGTCACTCGGAGTGTCTAGTTCAAAAAAGGACAGTTTCCAATTTATAATAATCGACATAATAAAAGAAACATTAAAGAAAGTAAAAAACGGGATAGGAATTTTGATTCAATAACACATGAGTTAAAAAATAGTAATGATCATGTAAATATTAATTTCACTATATATATATAGAGAGAGTAATGAGTATGCTTAGTACCAAACACTAAATCAAGTGCTTGGTAGTGAGGTGACCACTTTACTACCAAGCGTCAATTTAGTACTTAGCACCAAACATACCCATTATTCTAGCACAAATAGCGGTGGGCACTGGGCCGGGTCGGTCTACGAGCCCGCTCGCTCGGCTCGACCCAGCTCGGCGTAGGACGGGTCCAATTTGGTTCGCTACAGTAGCGGGTT